TTCCTTCTCCAGGGGATCTTCCTGACCCACGGACTGAACTCATATCTCCTGCATTGGCAGGCAGATTCTTTACCACTGAGCCACCAGGGAAGCCCACACAGGAATTTAGGAGTATTCTAAATAAAAATCCAAGACAGTCAGTTCCCTCTTTCTGTAAAAATATTCCTCTACCTTTAATGTGATTTTATTTTCTAGATTATATGACTCTCAATCACAGTGTTCAAGAAGGACAAAGGGGCAGCTTCATCGCTGAATCACAGAGGGATTCCCACAGAAATGAATTGGCTTTCCAGCAGAAGGTTGAAAATGTAAGTTCTGTATTCAATCGGTGTGATCATACACAGACATGCACATCATTTCCCCACTGTTATACTTAAGGCACTTGAGGCTCACAGAGGAAACTACTGATATAAACCGGGGCATACAATCTAATCATGGAAACATCTATAATTCCATTGAGCCCTTACTATGAGCCAGTAAACTGCCAGAAATCGTAGTTGTATTCTTGGTTCTGAAAGGTGGCCGCTGCAAGCTGTGTGTTATGCCAGGATTCGTGACCTCTGGAGGAGAGGATTGTGATCCGGGGTCAGAGACGAGGCTTGACTACTTGGAGATTTTTGTGTGGCAAAATTTTATTGAAGTATAACAGAGATAGGAAAAGCTTCTGAAATAGATATCAGATGGGGACAGAAAGAGTGAGTGCCTGCTTGCTCGTTTTTAACAAGGCATTTTATGTCTGTTAGCAAGCTTCTCATCAGGTAAAAGAAACACTTCAAGGCTGAGGGAGTCTCCCCAGGCCCCTCTCCCACAATATGCGTTTTTGAGATGGAATGGCACAAGCTGTGTCATCCCTGGCCATGAAACAATTGACGTGAGTACTGGTTTGTAAGCCATTATCAGCCCAAGGTTTGAGAAAAGAAAAAAACAAAAAACGGTAGTCTTAGGCAAAACCAGTTTCATCAGCAGAAAAGGGGGAAAAGAACGTCTTCCACTTGGTTTATTTCCTCCTGCTGCTTGGGGACCTCTGGGCTTCCTACCTGTTACCCTCTCAGTTGTATGCCAAAATGCACATGTGGGGCCCAGACAGGCCAATTCGCTGCCCCAAGACCTCACAGCCGGGAAGTGACCAGGATCAGTCACAGCTGAGACAGGCTTTGGTGCTGAATCATTCATGTCAAACTGTCAGCCAGTCATTTAATCTTTTATTCCCCGATGGCTCATGGGTAAGGAATCCGCCTGCCAGTGTGGAAGACGCAGGAGATGCTGGTTCTATCACTGGGTCGGGAAGATCCCCTGGAAAAGGAAATGGCAACCCTCTCCAGTATTCTTGCCTGGAGAATCCCATGGACAGAGGAGCCTGGCGGGCTACAGTCCAAAGGGCTGCAAAGAGTCAGACGCCACACACACATTGCAAAACGGACCATCAGTTATGCAGTGAAAATCATTGTGGCAAAAATGCTTGGGGGGCAAAGGTGTCCACAGCCAAGATGCTTCAGGCAAGATACTGGACACACTTTAGACCAGTTTTAGAGAACACGAAGAACAGAAAGACATGAGGATGGATAGTTGGGCAAGGACTGGTCCACGTGAAGCCTTGGCAGTGTAAGAGTTTTGTAGTCATTTGCCACAATGAACAATGCAGCAAAGATCTGAGTGTTTCTCGATCACCAACTGAATGCTCACTCCCTGGACAGCAGTTTTTAATAAGCAACACTAGCCCCCAAATGAGTCCCCCCCAAATACAGTACTAAAGAGTCTGTCAAACTGAAGCTACTTCAAGAGAAAAACATGTAGAAAACTAACGTTATGCTGAATTTCCCAGACTTGTCACTCTGTAAATAAAGGCAGCATATCCAGGCTTGTCCGTGGCAGTGAATATGTTTGTGACTAAATGTCATCCTGTTGATGATGTCTCATCAGTAGATAAGAACAATTTCAGTTCTGCTTCATTGCTCTTACTTTGAGGCATATAATTTCAGTTATAACATATTTTCATACCAACTGCTCAAACTTGAATCTCTTTCATTTTTATTCTCCAAAATATTGAGAATCCTGTTATTGCATCATATCTGTTACCAATCAGTTAATAGGACCTAGGTTTGTTCTAATGGTACGTAATTAGCTAAACTTCATGAAAGTCTGAAGTAAAAAAAAAAAAAAGATCAGAGTGTTTCTGAAGTCTCTTCTTCAACATAGCATTCCAGGCACTGTGCTAGGAGTTTTTCATGTTATTTTATTCATTTGCCTCAAGGAACCTGTAAGAACTGCTCTCATTATCTTATTTTTTCAAAGGGGATCACTGAGCTTCAGGAAGTAAAAGTGACTTACCTAAAGTCTTATGACCAACAAGGGAAAAGGAAAAAGCTATAGTATTTGTAATCCATGCACTCTATCCACCCGTCCTGGTTATTGCAAACATTTAATGCTAATACTCCTGTCAGCACACAGGTTACAACGGTAGATGTAGTAGCCAACATGATTACTATCTATTAAGCTCTTTCTGTGTGCCAGGCAGTGGGCCCAGTGCTTCTCAGAGCCTAAGTGACAAAAATTGTAATTTATTTGGTATTGCGACGTGCCATCAATTGCTTCACTTAATCTGTTCTAACAACCTAAGACTGAAATACCATCACTGACTCAGTGGACGTGAGTTTGAGCAAACTCCAGGAGACAGTGAAGGACAGGGAAGCCTGGCGTGCTGCAGCCCACGGGATCACAAAGAGTCGGACACGACTGAGCGACGGAACAACAGTGACAATGGCACTGGCAGCTTTCAAACACTGACTGAAAGCTATTTCATCCATTCGCTTCCTTTCCTTATCTGTAACGTATAGGTGATTCTTCTCCCCTTAGAGTTAATCAAGTTCATATAATAGTAGCTACTGTATACCTGATCTCTTGGGGTGGTAAAACATGGTGGTTGAAAACCATTTCGGAGCCAGAGAGACGTGACTTTCAGGATATCGCTCCCTTACTAGCTGGATTTTCTTCATGAATCCACTTGACCTACTTGCCCAGAGAAGTCATGTCTGGTAGAACATGTCCATGCTCTCTATAGAGACAGGTACAAACTTTAGAGGTGGTACGAGGTATGCCTTGGGTGTTCTATAAAGGAACACATCTTTCCATTGTCCCTTGTCCACACCCATAAGGAGTTTGTTCCCTCACCTGATGGCTTAAAGACAGAAGGTACAGATCCCTTCTTGCTGATGCTGTACCTGGAGGAGGCTCTGGTGTTCAGGCAGGTCGGGCCCAGAGGAGGAGATGCCAACGAACAGAGGAATGACCTTCCAGTCCATCTTGGAAGGATTGGCTCCTGGTCTTGAGTGAGGCACCCACCTCAACCAACCGCCCCACCCTTGTTTCTCTCCATTATTCTGGATGCTCTGACTTGCTAAGGGGACTGCCCTCATAGTGAGAAGGAGGCAGGCTTAAGCTGGCGCTCTGAACCTCAGAGACTTCCCTGATCTCTGTGGATTTGGAGAAGAGGAATCTTTTTTTGTTTTTTGATAACTTTCAGAGGCTTAAGGGGAGGAGAGGACTTCCCAGGTGGCACTGGTGGTAAAGAAGCCGCCTGCCAGTGCAGGAGATGTAAGAGACTCGGCTTAGACCCCTGGGTCGGGAAGATCCCCTGGAGGAGGGCATGGCAACCCACTCCAGTATCCTTGCCTGGAGAATCCCACGGACAGAGGAGCCTGGGGGGCTACAGTCCATAGGATCGCAGAGGCAGCCATGACTGAAGTGACTTAGCACACACACACACACACAAGAGGAAAGTTAGCCTCAGACCCACCCTTAGTTGAGGCCATTGTGCATTCATGGATCCCTTCCCAAATGCCTAGCCCTGCGCCTGGAGCCTGGAGTATAAAGATGGGTGAGAGGGGCTTCCCTGTTGGTCCAGTGGGTAAGACCCTCCAGTGCAGGGAGCAAGGGTTCCATTCCTCATATGGGAACTAAGGTCCTTCATGCCATGGGGTGCAGCCAAAAATTAAAAAAAAAAAGATGAATGAGAAACTGCTCCTGCCTTCATTGAATCAATCCTAGGGTGCATGTTCTCATGGAAACACGTGTTCACAACTTGCTCTGAGAAGCACCAGGGCATCTGAAGAGCAGAGAAAATGGTCTTCTGGCTCAATGTACACTTTTAAACTCAAAAGTTAATTAAAAAAATACAAAAGTATTTCATACTACATTCTATTTTATTTTTAATTTAGTGTATATATATATGAACCAAATATCCATGTCAAAACATACAAACTGATTTCTTTTTAACAGCCTAATGCTTATCTTACAATGAATGTACTATTTTTAATTTATGCACTGGATGGACATGTGAGCTTTTTCCTATTATTTTTCTTTACAAGCAAAGATCCAATGAATGTCCTTGTACATATTTATTTCTACTTGTGGGGACGTATAGACACATTTAGGAAATAAATATTTGTCAATATTCCCTTAATAAAACTGATGAGATGGTTAGATTTACTTTTCTGGCTTACTCATAAGGTAAAACATCTTGTCATCAGGGTGACCAGCAACTTATCAGTCATCTTTGATGATCTACTTTCTCATAGACAATGTTCACATTTCCCTTGGGTGGCTACAATCTTGTCATGGATTGCTTCAAACTCGTATATATATTAAGGCTTCTTGGATAGCCTTAATATATATTAACAGTATAGAACCTGCCTGTAATGCAGGAGACCTGGATTCGATCCCTGGGTCAGGAAGATACCCTGGAGAAAGAAATGGCAACCCACTCCAGTATTCTTGCCTGGAGAATTCCATGGGCAGAGGAGCCTGGCCAGCTATAATCCATGGGGTCGCAAAGAGTTGGACATGACTGAGCGAATTACACTTTCACTTTCTTTGTGAGAAATAATGAGAAGTGAGAAATGTATTCCTTCAGTATGTAACTTGCTTTTTCAATATCCCTTAAGGTGTTTCAAGCCATAAGAAAATGTAAATTAGGAGATAGGGGGTTAATGTCAGAACCAGGATCAAGTCGAGTGGAGAGTTCTGAGCAGGGCTGCATGGACCTCCTTGTTCCGCAGGCAGTAGATGACCGGATTGCACATGGGCGTGGCCACCGTGTAGATGACCGACAGCACCTTGTTGAGGTCCATGGATCTGATGCGGCTGGGGCGGCAGTAGATGAAGAGGGCCGCTGAGTAGAAGATGCCCACCACCACCAGGTGGGAGGCGCAGGTGGAGAAGGCCTTGCGCCGAGCAGCGGCGGAAGGCATGCGGAAAACTGTCACCCCAATCGCCGAGTAGGAGGCCAGGGCAACCAGCAGTGTCCCGCAGAAGATGACAATGGCCGAGAGGAAGTCCACCAGCTCAGTCAGGGCCACGTGGGTGCAGGACAGGTTGAGCAGTGGGGAGACGTCACAGAAAAATTGATTGAGGACATTGGGGCCACAGTAGGATAGGCTGGCAATGCATGTTGTCTTGGCCACCGAGACCAGCAACCCACCAAGCCAAGAAGTCCCAGCTAAGCCCAGGCAGACCTGGGGCCGCATGAGCAGCGGGTAGTGCAGTGGGCAGCAGATGGCCACGTAACGATCATAGGCCATGGAGGCCAGAAGAGTACACTCTGTGCAGATGAGGACGATGAAGAAGAAGAGTTGGGTCATGCAGGCTGTGAAGGGCACGTGGTAGGGGCCCATCCACAGCCCCGCGAGCAGGCTGGGCATGGTCACAGACACGTAGCACATCTCCAGGCAGCTCAGGTTGCCCAGGAAGAAGTACATGGGCTTATGGAGCTCAGCGTGGCTGCAGACAAGGAAGACGATGAGGGCGTTCTCCAGGAGGGTCAGCAGGTAGAGGGTCAGGAAGACGACAAACAGGACTTCCCTTGTTTCTGGGCTCGTGGACAAGCCCAGCAAGATGAATTCCTGGACCCTTGTCATGTTGCCCAACTCTAGGGATCTCTCTGTCTGTGGATAGACAAGGTTTATCGACATCCTGATTCCTGCAAAGACACATAGTATACAATATTGGGGAAATGTTCACAGTGTATTGGGAACTGAGATAGTGGCAAACCCAAATTCTCTTAGAAATGGGCTGTTATGAAGAGAAATGCTGTAGATTTGTGAGCCAGAAAGCAGGCATAGAAGGAACATACCTCAACATAATAAAAGCCATGTATGATAAACCCACAGCAAGCATTGTCCTCAATGGTGAAAAACTGAAAGCATTTCCCCTAAAGTCAAGAACAAGACAAGGTTGCCCACTCTCACCACCTCTATTCAACATAGTTTTGGAAGTTTTAGCCACAGCAATCAGAGAAGAAAAAGAAATAAAAGGAACCCAGATTGGAAAAAAAGAAGTAAAACTCTCACTGTTTGCAGATGACATGATCCTCTACATAGAAAACCCTAAAGACACCACCAGAAAATTACTGGAGCTAATCAATGAATATAGTGGTTGCAGGATATAAAATTAACACACAGAAATCCGTCGAATGCCTATATACTAACAATGAGAAAACAGAAAGAGAAATTAAGGAAACAATTCCACTCACCGCTGTGATGAAAAGAATAAAATACTTAGGAATAAATCCACCTAAAGAAACAAAAGACCTATATATAGAAAACTATAAAACACTGGTGAAAGAAATCAAAGATGACACAAACAGATGGAGGAATATACCATGTTCATGGATCAGAAGAATCAATATAGTGAAAATGCATATACTACCCAAAGCAATCTAGAGATTCAATGCAATCCTTATCAAGCTACCAACGGTATTTTTCACAGAACTAGAACAAATAATTTCACAATTTGTGTGGAACTACAAAAAACCTTGAATAGCCAAAGCAATCTTGAGAAGGAAGAATGGAACTGGAGGAATCAACCTACTTGACTTCAGACTATACTACAAAGCCACAGTCATCAAGACAGTATGGTACTGGCACAAAGACAGAAATATAGATCAATGGAACAAAATAGAAAACCCAGAGATAAATCCATGCACCTATGGACACCTTCTCTTTGACAAAGGAGGCAAGAATATACAATGGAGAAAAGACAATCTCTTTAACAAGTGGTGCTGGGAAAACTGGTCAACCACCTGTAAAAGAATGAAACTAGAACACTTTCTAACACCATACACAAAAATAAACTCAAAATGGATTAAAGATCTAAACATAAGACCAGAAACTATAAAACTCCTAGAGGAAAACATAGGCAAAAGACTCTCTGACTTTTTTTCCATTTATTTTTATTAGTTGGAGGCTAATTACTTTACATCATTGCAGTGGTTTTTGTCATACATTGAAATGAATTAGCCATGGATTTACATGTATTCCCCCATCCCGGTCCCCCCACCCACCTCCCTCTCCACCCGATCCCTCTGGGTCTTCCCAGTGCACCAGGCCCAAGCACTTGTCTCATGCACCCAACCTGGGCTGGTGATCTGTTTCACCCTAGATAATATACATGTTTCGATGCTGTTCTCTTGAAACATCCCACCTTCGCCTTCTCCCAGAGTCCACAAGTCCGTTCTATACATCTGAGTCTCTTTTTCTGTTTTGCATATAGGGTTATCGTTACCATCTTTCTAAATTCCATATATATGTGTTAGTATACTGTAATGGTCTTTATTTCTGGCTTACTTCACTCTGTATAATGGGCTCCAGTTTCATCCATCTCATTAGAACTGATTCAAATGAATTCTTTTTAATGGCTGAGTAATATTCCATGGTGTATATGTACCACAGCTTCCTCATCCATTCGTCTGCTGATGGGCATCTAGGTTGCTTCCATGTCCTGGCTATTATAAACAGTGCTGCAATGAACATTGGTGTGCACGTGTCTCTTTCAGATCTGGTTTCCTCGGTGTGTATGCCCAGAAGTGGGATTGCTGGGTCATATGACAGTTCTATTTCCAGCTTTTTAAGAAATCTCCACACTATTTTCCATAGTGGCTGTACTAATTTGCATTCCCACCAACAGGGTAAGAGGGTTCCCTTTTCTCCACACCCTCTCCAGCATTTATTGCTTGTAGACTTTTGGATAGCAGCCATCTGACTGGCGTGTAATGGTACCTCATTGTGGTTTTGATTTGCATTTCTCTGATAATGAGTGATGTTGAGAATCTTTTCATGCGTTTTTTTGCCATCTGTATAAGACTCTCTGACTTAAATCACAGCAGGATCCTCTATGACCCACCTCCCAGAGTAATGGAAATAAAAGCAAAAATAAACAAATGGGACCTAATTAAACTTAAAAGCTTTTGCACGATGAATGAAACTATAAGCAAGGTGAAAAGACAGCCTTCAGAATGGGAGAAAATAATAGCAAATGAAGCAACTGATAAAGAACTAATCTCAAAAATATACAAGCAGCTCATGCAGCTCAATTCCAGAAAAATAAATGACCCAATCAAAAATTGGGCCAAAGAACAGACATTTCTCCAAAGAAGACATACAGGTTGCTAACAAATACATGAAAAGATGTTCAACATCACTCATTAACAGAGAAATGCGAATCAAAACCACAATGAGGTGCCAGCTCCTACTGGTCAGAATGGATGCTATCAAAGAGCCCTACAAACAATAAATGCTGGGGAGGGTGTGGAGAAAAGGGAACCCTCTTACACTGTTGGTGGGAATGCAAACTAGTACAGCCACTATGGAGAACAGTGTGGAGATTCCTTAAAAAACTGGAAATAGAACTGCCATATGACCCAGCAATCCCACTGCTGGGCATACACACCAAGGAAACCAGAATTGAAAGAGACACATGTACCCCAGTGTTCATCGCAGCACTGTTTATAATAGCCAGGACATGGAAGCAACCTAGATGTCCATTGGCAGACAAATGGATAAGAAAGCTGTGGTACATAAACACAATGGAATATCACTCAGCTATTAAAAAGAACACACTTGAATCAGTTCTAATGAGGTGGATGAAACTGGGGCCTATTATACAGAGTGAAGTAAATCAGAAAGAAAAACACCAATACAGTATATTAACGCTTATATATGGAATTTAGAAATATGGTAATGATGACACTATATGGGAGATGGCAAAAGATACACAGATGTAAAGAACAGACTTTTGGACTCTGTGGGAGAAGGTCAGGGTGGGATAATTTGAGAGAATAGCATTGAAACATGTATATTACCATATTTGAAATAGATCACCAAGTTCAATGCATGAAATAGGGCACTCAAAGCCTGTGCACTGGGATGACCCTGGGGGATGGGGTGGGGAGGGAGGTGGGAGGGGGGTTCAGGATGGGGGACACATGTACACACATGGCTGATTCATGTCAGTGTATGGCAAAAACCACTACAGTGTTGTAAAGTAATTAGCCTCCAATTAAAATAAATAAATCAATTTAAAAAATAAAGTAAAATGCAGTTTCCACCTTAAAAAAAAGTCTACAAACAGTAAATGGTGGAGAGGTTTTGGGGGAAAATTAATTCTCCTATATTGATGCTGGCAATGTAAATTAACAGCCAGAACAGAGGACAGTATGGAGATTTCTTAAACAAGGGAAAACTGAATAAAATTATGTCTCTCCCTAACCTTATACAGAAAAGAAACTCCAAATATCTTAAAGAGCTACATGGAAGGATGGATACTCTAAACTTCTTGAGGAAAATATGGGCAGAACAGGTTTTGAAATCAATCACAGCAACTTTTTGGTTTCACTCTTAGAAAAATGAAAAATAACAAAACTCAATAAAAGTAACCGCAAAAGCTTTTGCACAGCAAGGGAAATTCTAAATGAAAGAAAAAGACAACCCTCAAATGGGGAAAAATGGTTGTGATAAAATTTAAGAACAATTTATTCACCTCCAAACAAGCAAAGAGTTCATTTCATCTTAGTATTATACAACAATTAACTCAATAGAAAAACAGGCTAGAGATCTAAACAGACCTTTGTCTTAAGAAGGCATCCAGATGGCCATAAAGCCCATGAAAGATGCTCAGCGTCACTGTTGGAGAAATGCCAATCAAAACTGCAGCAACGTTTCAACTCACACCGCTCAGAATGGCCATCCTCCGAAAGAGCTGCAAAGATTCAGTGCTGCGGAGGGTGAGGGGAACAGGGAATCCTCCTACAGTGTGGGCGGGGAGGGAAATGGGTGGGTGCAGCCACAAAGGAAAACAGTATGGAGATTCCTTAAAACAGTAAATATAGAGCCACCACATGATCTGGCAAGCCCACCCCTTGCCTTAGAGCCAGAGAAAATCATAATGTAAAATGGTACTTGCAACTCTATTTTCAAGGTAGCGCTATTGACAATATTGACAGCATCAACCAAAATGTCCATCAATAGAAAAATGAAGAGTAGCTGGCCCATCTACACACAGACTGAGAAAACCCATTTATGATAATTAAAATAAAAGGTAGGAGAAGGGAGACATTAAGAGGCTGGGATTAACACACACACACTATCTATTATCAAGGATAAAACAAAAGGACCTACTGAATAGCACAAGGAAGCCTACTGAACACAGGGAGAGAACCTATATGGGAAAAGACCCCTAAAAAGAACATAATAGGTGTACATCCGTGTAGAACTCAATCAAGTTCCTGCAAACCCAAAACAAACAGAACAACAGAAATCAAGTTGACTCCAAAGGGGAAAAAGAACTAAACTACTAAAAAAACAAAAAAACCATGCGGCACATGAACTGAAAACATCTCTTAACTGGGCTCTTCATATTCAGCAGCCAGGAGGACAGAGGGAGAAAACAGTTGTCCTCAACAAAGATCCTCGGGTAGGTCCTGGAGAGAGATTCAAAACAGGGCAGACAATCAAGAGGCCACTCTGGAGAGGTCAGTTGTACTCACACTGCTTAAAAAAAAAAAAAATTAGTGGAAAAATTTCACCTCCTGAAATCTTAGAGAAATGCAAATCAAAATTATAATGAGGTATCACCTCTCACCAACCACCGAGCAGAGACATTAAATACA